CCCAGCCTGCCCTCGTGGCCCCTCACCCGTGAGGTTTGCCGTGCGGCCCTTGTGCTGCACCAGCCCGTGAAGGCCCACCAGCGCCGCACGGCTCTCCTCACCAACCTGAAGCGAACGCACGCGAGTGTGACATGGGCGAGCATGTCGGTGATTGCGCTTGCGCGCTTGCGTCGAAGCTCGAAAGCGCTGCCGCGCCCTGCTCCTCAAATGATGGTGGATACTGCACGAGCTCCCAGAAGATGTATCACCCGTACGTGAGCTGCCGACACCCCAGCCTTGATCCCCCCCCTCTGCCCCAACGCCGCCGCTCCTGGGCCCTCGCCCCCACCTGCACGACCATGACCACTGCCACCACCGCCGACCCCACCACCAGCAGCACCACCAGCAGCGCTGACACCGCAGAGTCCAGGGACGCGTCGCAGTAACGCCGCACGCACGCGTCCGCGGCTGACAGGCCTGAGGAAGCGTCACGGCCCAAGGCAGATGCATGCATGCGGGATGCATGCATGGGAATTCGCATGTTACGCCAGCACATTTTCAATACAGCCCTGTGGGATGCGAATTGGGACGGACGACGCATCACAGACAGCGCTACCCCTCAAGTCAAGCCGCCAGCTGGCGTTCGCGAAATACCAAGCTGTCAGGGCGCAGCCCCCACCTTGCGCCAGCCACTGCCAGGCTGCCATTAGCAGCCGCAGCAGCCGCCGCCCTACGGACCGCAGCCCGCCCCGCCGGGCAAACGTGCGGGAGCCGCGCCGCACGAAGCCGCGGCCGCTGCTGCCGCCAGCGCCAAACGCGGATCCGTTGCTCCAGCGCCGCCCGCCGCCGGCCGGAGTGCGCGGCGTGCACGGCTGGCTGCTCCCGGCGGCGAACCCTGCGCCGCCTGCCCCGCCGCCGCCGCCCGCACGCGGCTGCGCAGCCCCGCTGCCCGCTCCGTTGAGTAAACCGCGCGCAGACGCCGACGCCGCCATGCTGGACCCCTCGGCGGCGCCCTCCGTCTCCTGTGCCCCTGCCCCTTCCGCCCCCGGCTCCTCGTCAAATTCAAACTGATCCAGCGCCTCTCCATCCTCCTCCCAGCCAATGTCGCCGGTGACGTCATCTCCGAGGTAAGCGCCGCTGATCTGGCCGAGGGGCAGCAGGGCCAGTGGCAGGGCCACGGCTATGGCTATGGTGCTGCCCACCACCAGGGCTGTGAGTATGAGCGGTTTGTCAGCCTCCCACAGGGTCTGGTGGGGAGACGCCATGGCCGTGTGTGTGCGTGCGCGTGTGTGTGTGTGTGTGAGAGTGTTTGTGTGTGTGTGTGTGTGTGTGTGTGTGTGTGTGTGTGTGTGTGCGCGTGCGTGTGTGCATGAGCGCGCGATTTCCACAGAATCAACTTGCAAGGCGCACTGCGTGCTACACCCCCGGCATCGCACCGCCGCCAGCCACACCGCCCCCCCCCCCACCTTGATCCAGCCGTAGGCTTCCACCACCACCAGGGCCCGCAGCAGCCACTTGAACAGAGGCCGCGCCGGCGACGACACCACCACCACCTGCTGCTGCTGCTGCTGCGGCTGCTGCTGCTGCTGCTGCTCAAAGGGGCGCATCTCCCCAAACCCCAGGGGGTGGCCTAGGGCTGGCCCAGGCCCTGCGCCACCACCAAAGCTGCCGCCGCGCAATGCAGTGCTGTGAGCGCCGCGCAGGCCCGCGGGGCCGTCCGACCACAGGCCTGTGGTGATGGAAGTGAAGGGCAGGGTGACGCGGCTGTTGGGCTGCGCAGCATCGGTGCTAGCTTGACTCCAGACAGGCCGCCTGGCACGACCCAATGGTCCAGGCCTCAGACCCCCCTTACACAATCCGTACAACACCAGACACTCACCCGTGATGAGGTAGGTGAGCAGCTCGCGCACGACAAAGAGCCAGCCGCCCACATGCCGCCGCGCAAAGCGCTGCGGTGAGGAGGGGCAGCGGTGGTGGACACGCGGGGCGAGGGGGGGTGGTGGCTGCTGGGCGTGTCGGGAGTCAGGGTCACGAGGCAGTTTTGCTTCGTTGGCCAGGCTTCAAACAGCTGCCAATTTTCGGCGGGAGCTGCATGCACACGCCGATGCTGGCCAGCCAGCAGGCGGCATCCCACCTGGTACCGTCTGAGCCGCCGCATTGCGGTGTGCGGCGACATCCACCGCCCAAACCAGCCGCCCCGCTCCGCCGGCTGCCGCCCGCGCGCCGGCGTGCTCGCGCCGCCAACCTTGCCGCCTCGCCTGCCGCCGCTGCGCAGTGATCCCTGCCGCGTCGGGCGCAGCTGGTGCAGCTGCTGCTGCTGCTGCTGCTGCTGCTGCTGCTGCTGTGGGCCCCCTCCGCCTCGCCTGCGCCGCAATTGAGCCGCACTGTGCGCCGGCGAGAGGCCGTCCGGCTCTGATGCATCGCCCAGCGTCTCGGCCTCCGATGACCCGCAGCTGATGGTTGACCCTCGCGGCGCCGGCGAGCGAAGGGGCCCGTTGACCAGCTGCCGGGAAGCTGCCAGTGTGAGATCAGCGGCGCTGGCTGCAGCGTCCAGATCGAGGCTCAGCGCTGTCCCGCGGCTCTGCAGCGCCGGGGTTGATGTCAGAGGTCAGGCAGGTGGCTGGGAACACAGCAGAAGTGGTGCGAGCAAAATGGCCAACCATGGGGGAACACCTGACCCCTTTCACCTCATCCAAGCAAAAAACGTGGCATTGCAAGACGGAAGGCTGCAGAGTGCACAGGGCCAAGGGCTCACCTGTGCGCCCGTGAGTGCGGCCAGCTGTGCCGCCTGCTGCTGCTCCTCCAGCAGCTGCTGGTACTTTGCCCCCAGCTTGTCACGCACCTTGACCAGGGGGTGGGGCCGGAGGAATGGCAGAATTGAGGACGCACGGGGGAGGAGGGGGCTGGGGTGGGCATGTCAGCAAGCGCACACATAACTAAGCAATGGTGCGCGAAGCTCTCCAGACCCCGCCCAGCAGGGGTTGTTTGCTGGTCGCGGAGCGGCGGGGCAGGTGGCGGCGGCGGGGCAAGCCTTGGCGTGTGTCGTGCCAGCAGCCAGCGCGGCCCCCCACCCAGGCAGCACCTCGACAAAGGACTGCCACACGATGACCGCCGGCAGGAACGCCAGCTTGGCGCAGCAGACCGCGATGTTCTCGGTGCGAAGCTCGCGGCGCGCGACGTCGGTGAGGTATGCCTTCACGTCCCGCAGTGACAGGTGGCACAGCCACGCCCACAGCAACGGCTCCTGGGGGCAGGGCGGCGGTTGGGAGGGTGTCAGGTCGACGCGCGTGCCCACAGCGCAGTGTTGAAGGATGCACGCGCTGCACTTGGCGTCGGCAGGTGCAGGGTTCCCAAGCTGGCCGCGACTGCAGCAGCCAAGTGCTCAAGCCTCAGCTTTCAAAGGCTTGCACAATGTTGGTGTGCGAGCATGAGTGAGTGTGCACGTGTGTGTGTGTGTGTGTATGTGTGTGTGTATGTGTGTGTGTGTGAGGTTGTGCGTACACGAGAGAGTGTGTGTACTCTTGTGTGTGTGTACTTGTGTGTGTGTGTGTGTGTGTGTGTGTGTGTGTGTGTGTACGTGCGTGTGTGTGTGCGCGCGCGCGAGCGTGCGTGCGTGTTGTTGCGTTTGTGAGATCGTAGGCAGCCCACCTGGAAGGAGCTGAGGAGATCCCAGCTGAAATAGAACAGCAGCACGATGCCGACGGCCAGCACATTGCCGCAGGCATACAGCGCGATCTGGAGGGAGAGGCAGGTGGGGGGACGGCGCGCCGCTTTCGCAGTGAGCAGTTCTGAAGCCGACGGGGGCTACCTCTGACCTCACAACAGAGTGAGGTTTCTTGCGATTGATAGGGGGAGGAATGGCAGGGCCAGAGCGCTGAGACGGATGCGGCTGGTCATCACCTGGTAATACGCGCCGCCCTGTGGCCCCCGATTGCATTCGGGGGGCCCTTCTGGCGAACCTGGCCTGCTGGGTTGCCATGTGCCAGGTGCGGGCGGCATGACGGGCGTGCCAGCGCCGCCGCTGCCTGCTGCGGCGACGGCAAACGGGGCCGGCGATGTGCTGCGCTGCCACCCGTCCATCACAGCTGGCCTGACTCAGGCGTGGCCGGCAAGGGGCTGGGGCTCCGGGACGCCCGCCAGCACTGCCAGCGGAGCGCGTTCGCCCGCCAGTGCAAATAGCAGTCTCTCTGAAAGAGCAGTTGCACAGCTGGCTGCGCCTTACAATGCCCGCTTCCACTCCAAGAGCCCGTTGGTGGATTGTGCCGGCGAACATGCACAACGGCAGTGAGGTCGTGGCACAGTGGACTCATCCACAAGATCAGAGCGGGTTTGGCTGCACAATCGCAGTCACAGCGGCCAACATAGGTCCTACATGCAATCAATTGCCTGATTAAACATAGCGAACGCTACACAAGACGCTATTTGAAATCACATTGGCCGGTGCACGCACCAGTAATTAATGAGCATGAATGCGATGCATAGACGGAAACAATGCACACCATATAGACACGTGAAGCAGCGCCCAGCGCCCCTTGCGTCACTCCGGCCGGCCAGCCGTCTTCGAACCGCGGTGTGCAATGCTCGCGCCGCCGCTGCCGCCGTTGGCATCGACCTCGGCACCACCAACAGCGTCGTCGCCGTGCTGCGCGCGGGCGATGCGGCACCACGCGTGCTGCCCACCGGCGTGCTCGGCGCTGGTGCAGGGGCATTCACAATCCCTTCGATTGCGGCGGTAGACGAGGGCGGCGAGTGGCTGGTCGGCGACGCGGCGCGCGCCCAGGCCAGGTCCAACCCTTTGAACACCTATTACAGCGCCAAGCGCCTGATTGGGCGGCGGTACTCCGAGGTGGCCGGTGCACAGCTGGTGTACCGCATCTGTGAGGGCAGCGACGGCGGCGTGCGGCTGGCGTGCCCCCGGCTGGACGCCGACATAACGCCACAGCAGGTGATCCTGAGCCTAGAGTGTGGCTGCACCGGAGGCCCTAGCCCCGCAATGTGGACTTGTACATTTGCTGTGCTGCTTGCAGCAGTGGCAGCAGTAGCAAGCGGAAACAATGGCAGCCTGCAACAGGGGCGGCAGCAGCAGCCTCACCGCAGTAGCAGCAGCCGCCGCCGCAGCCGCAGCAGCAGCGATGGCCGGGACGCGGCATCCGTCGACCCAGCCACCAAATGCGCCTCCCCCCTCTTCCTGTCGCCGCCGCTGCGCGTTGGGGCCAGGTGTCTGCTGAGGTGCTGCGGCACGCAGTGCTGCTGGCTGCGCGGGAGCTGGACGCTGAGGTGGAGGAGGCGGTTGTGACGACGCCGGCCTACTTCACCAAGGCGCAGCGCGCCGCCACAGTCGAGGTCGGAGCACTGCTGCTGCACAGTTGCGCTGCTGTCTGGCATGCCATGCAAGCTTGGCTTTTATGTTGTCTGTGCCAGAAACAGGGAAGCGGGCACGGATTGCAACGAATTACATCTTGCAGGAGCCAAAAATGAATTATCAGGGTCAGTTTATGGAGGATGGGGGGCAAGACGTCCGGCCACTGCCTGCCGTGCACTGCACCGCGGCGGCGGTTGTGCCGACATGCGCCATGCACGCACCGCCCCGCAGGCCGCGCGACTGGCTGGGCTGAAGCGCGTTTCGCTGCTGCAGGAGCCGGTGGCTGCGGCGATGGCGTTTGGCTTTGGCAAGCCGTTTGAGTCCGAGACAATCCTGGTGTTTGACCTGGGGGGTGGCACCTATGACGTTTCGGTGCTGGACTCATTTGAGGGCATCATGGAGGTGGGGCTGGCGCACGGGGTGGCTTTGGGGGCGGCTCACCTGTGACGGGCTGCGCCACGTGCCGGCCGGGCATGGCAGCAGCGGGCGCTGGCGCGCCACGCGCCGGCGGCACCGCACCCGCATGGCAAAGCCGCCGCCGCCTGGCGCGTGCGCGCGGCCGCCTCGCTGCCAAGCCCAGATCTCGGACGTCAGCGGTAAGCTGAAGCTGTGACGAGGGTGTTGTTGCAAACCTCTCCCACCTGTCACCATCCCCAGGTCTTGGCCAGCGCCGGCGACTCCGAGCTGGGCGGTGACGACTATGACAGAGCGCTGGTCGCCGTGCTGCTGCGCCGCCTTGCCGCTACGTCCGGCCCCGCTGCCGCCGCCGCCGCCGCCGCCGACCCCGTCGCCGCGGGGCGGCTCCTGCGCGCCGCAGAAGCGGCAAAGGTGCGCCTAAGCAGCCGCAAAGAAGCCGAGGTGAAGCTGCCGGGGCTCATTGGGCAGGTTCCAGGCAGCGGCGGCGGCAGCGGTGGTGGCAGGGCCGGCGGGGACGGCGCTGTTGGCTTGGAAACCATTGTGACTGAGAGCGATCTGCTGGAGGCTACCACGGCGCTGCGGCAACGCCTGTGGCCGCCTCTTGCGAGTGCGGCGGAGCAGTGCAAGCTCGCATTTGCGTCTGACAGTGACGCTTTTGAGCGGCGGCTAGGGCCAGGCAGCAGCAGCACCAGCAGCACCAGCAGCAGCAGCAGCACCAGCAGCAGCAGCAGCAGTGTGGTCGGAGCGGCGGGGACTGCAGCAACGGCGACGGCGGTGGTGGACAAGTACGCCCCAAAGCCGCGGGTCGCTACGGCGGCGGTGCTTGTTGGCGGTGCAACACGGATGCCCATTGTTCGGGACTATGTGCGGCACATAACGGGGTTGGATCCCAGGTGAGGAGACCACCACATTGCAAGTGTAGTGTTGACACGTGCAAACAGTCGCCTATCTGGCATACTCGCTGAGGCAAGGCATCGACAAAACTTGCTCACATCACTTGCTCACACCACAACAGTGATCCCCACCCATGGGCGCATGACAGTCAATGCAGCACCATACCCAGCCCGCCACCACCACTATCACCACCGCCATCAACCGCAACATCGACACAACCTGATAGGTCCGAGGTTGACCCGGAGCAGTGCGTCGCCGTGGGCGCTGCCATCCAGGCCGGCCTGCTCTTGGGCCTCACCAGCGGGGTAGAGATCATGGACGGCTCATACGTGGAGGAGCTGCACCAGCGCGCGTCAGGCTTCCAGGTCTGAGCTGGCACCTGGCACAGGAGCCTGTGGCAGCGAAAGCCCAGTAGATGCAGGCGCCAACAACAACTGTGGCGACCCAACAGTTCCAAGCCTGGAGGTGGGCGCCAGACCTACTTTGGCATCCCTCTCCCATAACCCCCTAGACCCGTGCGCAAGCAAAGGGCGGGAGGGGGGGGAGGGAGAGGGGGTGCGCGGACGCCGCCGGTTGAGTGAGGTGCCACAGGCGGCCACGCGCATTGGCATCGCTTGTGTTCCCCGGCGCACACCGGCTGAAACGCCGCTTATTCTGGCGGCGAGCCCTGAAATAATGCCTGTGCTAAGAATGCCGCAGAACGTGCGCGGCCTGGCTCGCTGGCGGCCGAGCCCCGTGACCGCCCCCTGCTCACCCTCTGCGCACCTGTTTTGAGACAAGCTGCGCTTCTGACTCTGCCACTGTGCAGTGGCTGCCGTTGGGCTGTTGGTAACACGGCTGCGTGAGGTTGGCAGGAGACCTTGCTGAAACGCGGCCGCGCTCTCACAGTGCCTCAAATTTACTGCAAGCGCACCAACAGACGAAGCACGCCATGCACGAGTGCGCGTGTATGTATCCAAAATCACATGTGACGCGCACGGATTTCAGCTTACAATGGAGGTGGTGACCGAATGCTGTCAAATCAACCGCGGGAACGTCCACAGAGATGTGTTGAGTGTTGGACACAAAAACACAAGCATCGCCTCAGAGTTCAAGCAGCGGCCAAACAGCGCATCCAGGATGAGAAAGTGCAGGCCCAGCTGTTAGCCTGGCTGAGCTCTCACCCGGTTGCCTGCATCCACTTTGACGGGCGTCGCGCAGGGGGTCAGCAGCGGGGGCAGAACCAGCGCAAGCGGCTGGAGCGATGCCGCGAGATTTTGGGGTGGGGATACCAGTAGTAGAGCAACAGCGCAGGCTGCCGCTCTCCTATGCAGCCATGCGGGATGGAGAGCCATTCCTTTGGCAAGGCCGCCGAGGTCAGACACGCCTGGACCATGATGAGCCAGAGGTCAAGATATGTCACTGAAGTCGCATGCATGCAGTGAGGCGCACGCTGTTACCTTGTGGTGCCTGGAGGAGCTCACCAGAGGTCAAAGTTGAATCGCTTTGACAAAGTCACCAGGCAGCTGTCACCCCCTGCTACTACACGGTAGGCCGACACGCATGGCTTGAGCGCGTATGATACAACCCTGTTCGACATATTGCACCATGCCTCGTTGCTAGTTCAACTTGACCCCGGAGCCCCCCCTATATACCGTTATAGCAAATACAGAAGAGATCTGCGAGATCACAGAGCTATATCCGGCCTCCACTGTATTCACATGCAAAAATGACTATTTCAATGGGCGCTGTGGGACAGCGTGCAACATCCCGGATGACATGGCGGCACAACGCAGGTGAGTCGAGGACTCGGTGACGGGCTTACACGCGGCGGACGGACAGTCTAATCTCTTATTGATTCCCATGTCGAGCATCTACCGTCTGCGAACATGCTGTCATCACCGCTACCCCAGCTGCTGCCGCCACCGCCCCGAAGCCTGCTCGTGCTGCTGTGCTCTGCTGGCTGACCACGCATGTTTCTCCTGGCCACACCATGCAGGAGCCTGTCTCCACAGAGTACGGCCTTGGAAGGAGTGGCAGCCATACAGAAGTGGCCCTTGCGCAAATATCAACCTGACCGCAGTGGCGGCGGCGGGCAGCCAAGCCGGCTCCCCCTCCAGCCCGGCTGAACGCCCGCCTGCCGAGGCCCTGGCGCTGGCGCCACGGGCCAGCACGTGGCTCTCCCCTCAGCAGCTGTGGCAGCAGCAGCAGCGCTTTGACTCCAGCACTTCCATGTTTGACCAGATGCTCGCAGCGGCGGATGCTGCGGATGTGCTGTCGGACGGGTCTGGGGTCGACGAGTCGAATGAGCTTTACGGCGGGGCGGCGGATGCGGCGGGCGCCTCGGGCACAGGCGCCGAGGCAGGGCGTGCTGGCGGCGCCGGGTTCGGGACAAGGCAGGCGAAGCAGCGGCGGTCCGCCGCGGCGGCCGTAAAGCCCTGGCAGGCGTGCCCGTGTGCGTCGGGCCAACCCTACAAGGTGCGCGTTGCCTCACTCGCACTGCGCAAGTGCGGCACATGCCAACGCCGGCGACCCTTGCTCTGCCTCGTTTATGCGCACGCTGCCTTTAATCGGCTTTCGCTCACGCTATCGCATCTGAAACCTCCTCGTCCTATACCCTGCTGCCTCCGCCCTTCCTGCAGTCCTGCTGCCAGCCCTACCACTCTGGCGCGGCCACGCCCCCCACCGCGCCTGACCTCGTACGCGCACGCGTCTCGGCGCTCACCCTCGGCCTGGTGCCATTCCTGGCGTCGACGCTGCACCCTGACGGCGACGCTGCGGCGCTGCTCGGCGGCATACTGCGCTCCGACACGCGCCTGCTGGAGCGCCGCCTGCGGCGGCGTGCCGCGCTACACGCGCGCCTCAAGTTCAGGACCCTGGGCATGGCACACTGTGAGGGCGACCAGCCCGGCACGTGGGTGGTGGCGTATGTGCTGGAGGCGACTGCGGGCGGCGAGGACGTCGCCGGGGAGAGGTGGACGGTCATGGAGCTCTGCAGGCGGGACGGCAGCCGCGATGACAGCCAGGTTGATGGGGCTGGCGGCGGCCAGCGGGACGCAGGGCGCTGGCTGTACTTCGGTATGACGCATGAGATGCCAACGCTACACGACGCGACGGCGATCGTTGAAATCATCCAGGAGCACGATCCGGCGGCGTTGGGGATGGCAGCGCCGGCGGGCGGCAGCGGCCTGCAGGGGCGGCGTCGCATGTTTGCTCAGGGCCCGCGGCGCCTGGGCCGGCGTGACTCTCTGGGGACGGCGGCCGACGGCGGGCGCGAGTGGTTTGTTGACCTGGCAACGCCTGAGGCGGTCAGGCGGGCCAGGCAGGAAGCCATGGCGGCGGCTGAGAGTTCAGCTGGCGACGGTGCCGGTCGGCGGCGCCGGCAGCGGCAGGGCCACGGGTCATCACCCTGGCAGGCGGCGGCACCAGAGGCGCAGGCAGTGGCGGCGATGGCGGCGCAGCAAGGGGATGACGGGGTACTGGACCTTGATCTCTACTTGGAAGCGATGCGGCGGCTAGGGGCGCCCGTCGGCTCGGTGTAAATCAGGCTCTGCTGGCTCTGTAACAAATCTGCTGTCATGTCCTTGGCAAGGTAGCTCGTCGTCTTCGAGACGACGGGGCGCTGCTTGATTGAGCGTTTGCTGCCGCCGTCCAACACATGAAGTGCAGCTGGCAGCTGCACTGCAATCCAATCAGCTTCTTGTCATGCGCCAGCCAGTGGCAGCCCCCAACCGCCATGCAACTTGGTGCCACCACATGTGCGGAGTGTCTGACCGACCCTGGCCCTCTCAAACCAGAGTGGCGCTCAAGTGGAGGCGAAGCGCGTTTGCCGGATCTGCTCAACAACATGGAGTACCGCTCCGTCGTACGTGTGCGCACAGCTTCAAGAGCTGCAAATGTCCAAGCCTTGCTGCCATCACATTGCATTTGATGCAGCCAAATGTTTACAGGTTGGCCAAGCACTGAACCTGCACCGCTCAGGCAGCTGCGCACCAATTATGGCCATTTGCAATGGCAGCGCCGCGGCCATTGCTGAGCGGGAGCGCACTGGTCAGAGGTGCGGCGACATGGCCATGCCTTTGCGGAATGTGGCATCTGTCACCCATCTGTCGGCCCGAAGTGCCTTGTACGCAACATTGAAACACACATACAGCGACTGACATTGCTTCACGCTACGGTAGTCCAGAGCTAAAGTACCGCCAGATCGAAGTGCAGCAGCCTTTACGTGCAACAGGATTCTACCGGTAGTTTCGGCATTGTACAGTAGAAGAAGAACTCCCGGTATACCGGGGGCCGCTGGCCCCCCTGATCCAGCACCATGGTGCGTTGGTTGAGCCGATGGCGCGCGCTGGTGCTTTGTATGTGATTGATGAGATGTCTTACATTCAATGGTGTTGGCGTGCAGCGCGCTCCGCCTGATCGCGCGCCCTTGGCGGCGGGTGCCCCTGTTCGGTGCTCTGCTGCTAGCGCTCTGCTGCTGTTTGGCAAATCCCAGCTCGCTTGTGGTGTTGTGGCCGTGTTTTAACAGCTTTAGCACGGTCTGGTTTGCCTCTCAGCAACTGCGCTCGCTGCCATGTGCAGATCCACTTCTTCCTGCTGATGTCGAGGCAGGGCAAGGTTCGCCTCGCCAAGTGGTACAACACATTCAGGTGCGCTGACGGCATCCTGGAGCCAGAGCAGCCGCATTAACTCTTGAGCAGCAGCGGCCGCACGACCATGCAGGAACCATCTGTGTGAGTGCAGGGTAGACAGGCGGCGCAGCGGGGTCTAGGGCTCAAGGGCGGGCGCAGCCTGACCGCGCATTCTCCTGCCGCCGGATATGTCTGCGCGTCACGCGCGCAGCCAAAAGGAGCGGGCGCGCATCATGAAGGAGACGACGCCCTTGGTGCTGCAGCGGCCTCTCAAGCTTTGCAACTTCGTAGATTGGAAGAACTACAAGCTGGTGAGGCTGCGCGTCCTTTTGTTGGTTTGGTTTATCACCGGCTGGACAGGCAGCACCGTGGCACTGCCATGTGCTTGAGGCACACGGCAGCAGTGACAAAGACATGCAACGTTGCGCCATGCATGTGTGAAGGCGTCGCTCCTCGGCGAGCAAAGCAGTGTTTCACACATGGCTCGCGCGCGAGTGGCCTGCCCCCACCCATGTCCCCACGAACCTGGGCGGCAGGTGTACAAGCGGTATGCCAGCCTGTACTTTGTGTGCGGCGTGGACCCGGCCGACAACGAGCTGCTGGTGCTGGAAGTCATCCACCACTTTGTGGAGGTGCTGGACAGGTAAGACTGGCCTCAGATGGCTGGTGGGGTGGCTGGCTTGAGGTGCACAAACGCGGGTGTCGGCGAGCTGGAAATGGCACCGGCGGTGCCTGGGGCTGCACTGAGAATATACGGCTTGCCTGCATAAGCTCAGGTCAGGGGCGCCTGACTTGCATCACACCAGTAGAGTTGCTGGCTGTTGCCCACGTAGCTCGCCCCCACTTCAGTTGACAGGTGCATGGGCAATCGGACTCCCAACCCCTTGACAGGTACTTTGGCAATGTGTGCGAGCTGGACCTGATCTTCAACTTCCACAAGGCTTACTACATCCTAGACGAGCTGCTCATCGCAGGCGGGTGGCGGTCTGTTGGGGCTTGTTG